GGACGTTAGGAAGAGGAGTGTACTTTAGAGTATATAGCTTGAGCCTGCGGCCCTTCACGCCATATACCCTTCGGGAGGTCGGCCGCAAGGGCGGTTGCGCCCTTGCCGCCTCGGCGTTAAATACAACAACAACAACAACAGTCGGCACGCACTGTCGTCATACGGAAATCTGAGTCCTGCCTTCTCAAGCTCTTCAGCCATCGGAGTCTGGATTAGACCTGGGTGCACCGAAATGACTCGCAACTTGTTCTTGTTCTCCGAAGCCAAGTACTCTGCTAGCTTCAAGGAGGACATCTTGCTTGCCACATACCCGCCCATGCCCGGTAGCGGAGGCATGATGCTTCCGGCAGTGTTGAGGACGATAAGGACCGGTTGAGACGCGCCCTCTTGACCCGACGTGGTAACAGCCAACATAGCTTGAGCCAAGGTCAGGAAGCCTTTAATGTTTACTTCGAATGCCCTCCAGAGGTCGTCGAGGGGCACTGTTGCCAGAGGGCCAAGGGGCGGGAGGGCTCCAGCTGCGTGTATGACGATATCGATGCGTCCGAACTTAGAGACTATCTGGTTCAGCGTAGACTTCACACCCTGTTCGTCGCAGACATCAACAGCAAAGCAGGCTGTCTCCGTATCGAGGCCTTTCTCATGAATGGACTTTGCAACCTGCTCAAGTAACTCCACTCGGCGACCGAGGAGAATCAAAGCTTTTGCTCCGGCTGTAGCGAAGGAGAACGAAGCGGCGTTTCCAATTCCAGACCCGGCTCCAGTTATGAGGACGACTTTGCCGGCGGCGGAGATCGAGGGGTTCGTAGCAGAAATTGCCTCGTAGCTTGCATTGTGGGTAGTCGGGGTATAAGACATGTTGAGCTTTGGCACTGTTTAACGATGGCAAGCGTGATGTGATGTGATTGGAATGATTATTCCAACTCCTTGAGAGACAGTAGAAGGACATTTTTAGGGAAAAAAGAAAAGCAAGGCCTAGCAAACTTCTGGTTTGCACGCAAAGCCATTAATCCCGTGAGTGGGTGACATTTGATTTCCAGCTCATGGAAGGCTCAATGTGGGCGAAAAGTTTCTTCATTTCAGATTGAAATTGGTTGTGGTCATAACCGCGCGGTAAGTAATTGACATTCAGTGTATTTTCAATGGTTTTCTGAGGTCCGTACAGACGAGCACTGACGCTGATTTGCATTCGGCGAAGGTTCACGGACTTAGTGTTTCCTAGTACGGAATGCCTTGAAAGAGTAGGAGTAATATCCGTTTCTATTCATTGGGGATCACTGAACCCATTACACCGACCGATAACGCCGAATCTTCCCAGTTTTGAGTAGTCCGCACTCAGATCATTCACAGAACCTGGTTCTTTAGATTATCAATGGTTGATAAAAGAACTTAGGTCTTTTCTATAATTCGGAGAAGTGCTCCGTGATGGCCCAAGGTAAATAAAGCACGTAAAGAATCGTGAAGTATGGTCTCTTCTGCTTCTGCTGAGAGTTTGTACGACAAGAGATTGACACCATTGCGGACGTGGATAGTAACTCACTTGGGACGCAGAAAGTTAACATAGCGGAATTCGTTTTCTAGCCAGAGGGCTTCTGACATGAAACTATTAAAGATTGAGATAGTTAGCCGAAATACCAATTAAAAATAGACGTCGCCCTGTTACATTCGACTCCTATATTTTAACATATTCCCTTGAATATATTGTTGTGTTTGATGGGCCTACATACATAACTGCTAGACGCCCTTTGCCTAGCAAATGGGGAAGTCACTCACGCGCACACACGCACATACACACACACACATCGGACTACTATGTAGCTGGAATCATGCAGGAGAGGCATCAGACATCATCCCTATAACCAGAATCAGGAGCGAAAAAGACATGAACCTGTAAGGACCGATAACATGAAAAATTTAGGATTATGAAATTATTTGCTGATGCGACGTACACTTGGCTAGTTACTATGTATAACCTACTGCTGTCCGTGAAGGTCAACGTTGTCATCTAGATCGGCGCAGTGCTACTATTCTTCTTCCCTTCTAACTTTCTTTTCACAGATTGCCGCCTGTGGGCGCACCTCTTTGACTGCCGTATGACTCTGACGGGGCAGTATGCGAGGGCCAGGACTACTACTTTTTCGAAGAATACTAAATGCTCAGATATTGTCACAGAATCTAAATTTTGATACCTTCCTTACCCGTTTATAAGATAGGTGCGGCACGCTAGGTAATATATTTTGCCGTGAAAATCATACGGTACCTTAGTCGGTGAGGTGCGCCCACAGGCGGGACTCTGCAAAGGAAAAATAAGAAGGGAAAGAGAAAAGTCGGCCTAATTTTAGGCCGAGCTAAATCATCTGACTACATGCAGCCTGATTTTGATGGAGTCTGCCAACGTGGTCCCTTGTGAACCAAAGATAAGCGCGGGGTAATCTCCTCTTCTGCTCATCGCCCTGCTTCCACTCCTTTCTCACTCCTCAATAGCCTCACATTGACGTTGTGGAGATGCCGCGGAGGGCCTTGCAACCCGAGCAGTACACAGTCGGGTGGGTTTGTGCTCTGCCAGTCGAGCTCGCCGCAGCGCAGGAGCTTCTAGACGAACTTCATGACCATTTGGATGCCGCACGTACATCAGCTTACGTTCTAGGCCGCGTTGGCAGACACAACATCGTTCTTGCAAGCCTACCTGCAGGTCAAACGGGCACCAACTCAGCGGCAGCGGTCGCAATCGGGATACAAAGGGACTTCCCTTCAATCCACTTTGGATTGATGGTAGGAATCGGAGGCGGGGTGCCAAACGCAGATAACGACATCCGCCTTGGGGATGTTGTGGTGAGCCAGCCACAAAGTACGCATGGCGGAGTCATTCAATACGATTCTGGCAAGTCGAGACCAGAGAAATTCGAACGAACCGGCTTTCTAAATGCACCGCCAAACGTTTTGCTGATCGCCGTCGCAAAGCTGCGCGCCCAGCAATTCAGATCTCAGGAACTTCTCTCTCGACACAGGTCTCGCCTCAAACGCTTGCCTCATTTCGCTCGGGAGTCCGCAGGGCAAGACCTCCTGTATGAGCCAGCTTACCATCACGTTGGGGGTTCTACCTGTGATAACTGCTCGAATGAATATTTAGTGAAGCGACTAGCGCGAAAAAGTCAGGGGACAATAGTTCACTATGGCACGATAGCTTCAGGCAACCAAGTGATGAGAGATGGTATGTCGAGGGATAGGTTGAGCTCAGAGCTAGGTGGGGTCCTCTGTTTTGAAATGGAAGCCGCCGGTCTCATGAACACTTTTCCGTGTCTCGTCATTCGGGGAATTTGTGATTATGCCGATTCACACAAGAACAAGAGATGGCAGCCGCATGCAGCCATAGTAGCGGCAGCATATGCAAAAGAGCTCCTGTCTCTGGTGCACGCTCCTGAAACAGGCCCAACACTTCGCGAAATTTACGGTGGGTCAAAATCAGACTTATTACTCTTACGTGGTCAATGATGAATTTTTATGCTTACGTCCATTTTCTTTCTAGATACCAATCAAGCAAAGGCGGTGAAACACGTACTGGACGTCAATTGCAAAAACGGTAGGCCATCAATCGTACGAACGAGTACACACGCACATTACTCATTCCTCGACAGTACGTGTATCTTTAGATTTCACCCAGATGCATCACCGCCGCCTTGTTATCAGAAAGCCATACCAGGGTACTGGAAGATGGTTGTCACAGATTCCACAATTCCAGGCTTGGCTGAGAGGTGACTGCCAGTTCCTCTGGATCAAAGGGAAAGCCGGGTCTGGAAAATCTACGCTTATGAAGCGAACATTGGAGAAGTTACAAAATGACCCATGCTGACAATTCCGTCACGATTGCGTCCTTCTTTTATGACGCATCGGGGCACATGTTGGAACATTCCACGATTGGCGTCTTGCGGTCCGTATTGCACCAAATATTTTCGCAAAATCACGAGCTGTTAGTCGAATTTATGAACGCATCGGATGGCCGCTTCGTCAAAGGAAAAGGAATGAATTGGAAAGTCGAGGAATTGATGGCGATGTTCGAAATCTCATGCGGGCTTCAGTGCTGGAGGCCCACAATCCTTCTTCTCGACGGATTAGATGAGGGTCTAGACGATGAGATTCGGCCTTTGCTACACTTCCTTCAGCAGCAGATTGGTCTGAGCGACCTGGGGATCTCGACCAAGAAACTTCAGGTTTTATTCTCTAGTCGACACTACCCCCACATTTCCGTGGACAATTGCCCCGAGATTTGGGTCGAGAATCATAACGGCCGAGATATCGAGACGTTCACTCTGAAAAAGTGAGCTTGTCTATCTGACACAGCGAAAAACGGGACGGTGGTTCAATCTGTTATCAACCGAGCTGATGGTGTGTTTCTTTGGGTTGATCTGGTTACTTACAGAATCCTCAAATCGGGCGACCACGGCGAGAGTCTTTAGCAAACCATGAGTGCCTTCGAAGCCACACCGCAGGAACTGGATGGCCTTTACATGCAAATACTTCATAAGCTTACAGATGATGAGCGCCTTGATACGTTCCGTTTATTCAGCGGGATGCTCTTCGCAGATCGAAGGTTGAGCCCCCTTGAGCTATGCTTCGCAATGCGCTTCCATCGCAACGCGTCCAAAGTCACCTTGGACTCATGGAAGCGATCGAGTGAATCCGTGGGGCAAAATTTGCAAGCAGAGAAATTCATTCGGAGTCGTTCACGGGGTCTTCTCAACATTCAAGATGAGGACGACTCTCAAGACTCGGGTACCGTTCAGTTCATCCACTACACTGTGTCTGTCTTTCTGTTACAGAGAGGCCTTGCGATTCTGCGACCTAATGAACAGCCTGCGAAGCTTATCGGTGTGGCCCATCGCGATATCGCCCTCACCTGCGTCCTGTACTTGACGCAGAACGAAATCACCAACTGCGAATCTTTCTCGAATTTACGGTCTCACACCAGCCATTTCGATAGTTGTCTGAAGGGGAAACCACAGATACATCCTGTTGACAAGACTGTTGTTCCCCTCGCGAAGGATACGCGGCTTCATGGGCCGGTATCTACTCGCCGGAAACCGCAGAATCGCGAGTACGAGCCGACTCAGCCCGGTTTCGGGGTCCGTGAAGCCATAGAATCTGTGTTTCATCAGCTTCCCCTTCTGAGATATGCCGTTCAAACGCTTGGGCACCACCTTACCCAAGCAGAAGAATATCGCATCTCCCAAGATCAGGCGCTCGATGTCTTTTTACGTCAAGGAACGCAATCTCTCCGAGTCTGGTACAAGTTTCAAGATGCTTTGTATCTCCCAAGAGATCATCGATGGCACTGGGTTAACTGGGACTGTTTTCTCGAGGGCCTGACTGCGCTTGGCATCGGGTCTTGTATTTACGACTTGAGCCGCCGAATCTACCTGGAGCAGCTCACCTTGCCTCCCTCCTGCGACTTGAGCAGGTGTTTATTTGCAGCCATTTTTTATGGTGCTGCAGGAATCACAAGAGACCTCGTCGCGTGTGGAGCGGATCTTTCTGCGCGGAATCCTGATGGACGCACTCCCCTCGACGAAAGTTGTCTTTTCCAAAACGCACAAATGGTCGCAGAGCTGATAATTGCTGGGGCTAATGTGAATGACCGCAACCAGTTCGGCGACACGGCCCTGCATCACGCAGTCAGGACTGGCTCGCCAGCTATTGGCGTTGCTTTACTCCAAGCTGGAGCCAACGTCAACGCGAGGCAGCAACCATCACAAGATACACCCCTACATCTTTCTGTGATTCATGACCAACTAGACGTAATGAACGTTCTGATTCGGCATGGCGCCGACAAACATGCGGTAAATAGCAGAGGTCACGACTACCGTGCCTTGGCTTGGCAGCGCCGATCTGTGCAAATATATGCTGCCCTGAATCCGTCTAACCCACACCTCCCACCACTTCAAACTAGTTCAAATGTAAACAAAAGCCCCTTGAAGATTCTGAGAGCGATGACAGCATCTTCATCCCCCGAAAAGCAGGAACAAGCAAGAGTTCGGAGGTCCAGCCGATTTGCCAGCATAGGATACCCGGTAGCTGAAAGCGTTATCAAACCGTTGGAAGGAGAAGAGAAAACAATTGAACGAACAGAGGAATAGTTTTGTTTTGTTGAGCTCTACAGAGTGAAGAATAATAGCTATCAGGCTTGCTCGTAGAGTGACAGGCTGCGGGAAATGCTGGAAGCTACCGCTAGCTTTGTTCATTGTGTCAAAGTCCCTTGAACCCCCCTTAAAGCCTACCACGCCGCCTTAACCCCTGATTGATCTTGTGCTGTCGATACAAAAGTAAGTTCCCCTTGTAAGTCAAAGGCAATTAGCGCCGTGTCAAAAGTCAAATTATGAATGAGTCAAGTTTTCTTGGGCAGGTAAAAACTACATTTCAGCTGTGCAACTATTTTATCATATGGAATCGTTCCAGTTATGGTCTGCCAGCAGGTTTCCTAAAGCCTGGGTTGGTCATGGGGCTTATCATTGTTTTATCGAGATCAGGCAAATGAGATTGCAGGGATCAGAATGTAATTCATTTCGTGGCAACGGACGTACAGAATTCGTCCAGAGACACTATCATCTCTGCTAGACACTTGGCAGTATTGTTCTGAAGTTGATGGCGATTCTCAATAAAATCAGCGGTGCAAGCTGCCGGCTCTCTGTCTCGGCACCCCATGCTTGCTCTCGCTGACACGTCTTTCCAAGCCCCATTCCTCCTCCCGAGAACCTTCAGGGAGGCCAGGCTTGCCACCTAAACTCGCCAGCACCATCTTATTTGTTGCTGTGAAATCATCCAGTATCTGCAACTCTTTCTGGGTGAACCATCTCGGCACTAACACAACCCTCATAGGGATGATCAGGATGATCAGAACCGGGAAGCCTATTGCTGCAAGGGTGTGCGAGATGGCTACACACGCCGCAACATCCGCGAATTGTAGGATAATGTAAAGCCAAATCTTGTGACGGCGCACTTGGAGCAACAGCTCGTCGCGTTGAATGAACCGTTTCTCGGAGTGGAGGAACACGAATTTCTGCAAGATGGAGTTTGACTCAATTGATCCCCACTAATACTCGTTAGTTATCAACCAAAGACGTTGAACGCTCCATACCATGAACTTACTCCGACCACGAAAAATACACCAGCGAATACCGCGGCCGGCATTGTGTGAAGAACCACAAGAAGAGGCCCGGTCATCGTTCCAATCAGGGCAAGCCCCATCAACAGATGCGACAGTCGCTGCTCGACAACATGAGTTGCGCTGACAATTGGACGGCGGATCTCAGTGTCCTCCCCCTCTGATGTTGGGATGATCTTTAGACTTGTCTTGTAGACTGTCAATGAGTCTGTGTGAACTGGAGCTTGGGGAACAAGGCCATTCGGCATCGGGAGCCCAAGGATGCCTGCGACGAAAGTGGTGCACCCGAGAAGGAAGAAATCCCAATGAAACCCGCCAGGTTTCTGAAGCGGGTATTGGCGAGCTTGTGCTGTAATACTGCTGACATTCTATGAAGTGGTTAGTATGAGTTCTTCGACATCCCGGGTCGCAACTCACATGGTCGTAGTAGAAGAGCAACATAGTCAGGAAACCAAAAGGCATGGCAACAAACACCCACTTGACATCGAGATTCCAGAAGTCGATAAGCCAGTTTCGGGGCTGTGTGGGATGGAACGCTGTCTCTATGGGAACTCTCATAATGTGTGCGTCCTTCAAAGGTCCTGGAATATGGGAGAAGCCGACCCAGAAAACCGTAGCAAACTGTGGGAATGGACGTTAGGCAATCATTCAATCATGGGAAAGGCATTTTAAAACGGCTTACGACATAGGCATAGTCTGCAAGAATGCCTCGAAAGTCCGCTCTCCAGAGAGTGCTAGAGCCAAGCTTCTCGAGCGCGTAGACCGTTCCGAAATAGAGTATGGCAATCAAGCAGGCCAAGTACCCAGCAGCACTGCCCTCAGTAGTGAACTCATTGACTAGTTCCTCAACTCCTTTGACTATAATAATGTGAATAAAGGGTGCCATGTAAAGCAAAGGTGATCACTTACTGATGTAGATGATTCCCACGTACAAGCCAAAGGATTCGCTAGAAAAGTCCGTCACGTAGCGCATATAGTCGCATCCGTTGAAGACTGCAACTAGCCAGTGGAAGATTGCAGCCCAAATTCCTGTCCAAGCCATGAATTGTGGGTAGATAGAAACGTCGTAAATCTTGATGATGTCGTAGATCGTGAAGTTAAAGAGAGAGATCAGGCCGGTGACGCCAACTATCGTCAGGGGCTGGGCGCTGAGTGTGCTAAAGACGACGGCGGCAAGTGCTGAGGAGAAGAGCGCTTCGTTGACACCGAAGAATTCGCCAGTTCTTCGGTACATGTCGAGAGTGTATGCAATCGCTGGAAGCAGGCTAGACCGGTTAGCTATATTTCGATATAGGAAAAGTTAGAAAGCGTCATCTTACTTCACAAAGTACATCCGGATTGTACTTGCGACTGTGCGATATGTCCATGCGTCGGCGATGTCACTCCAGTAGTATGGCAACCTTCGCTTGATATCATGGTAGATACCCCGTCCGGGACGAAGCACCCTCCAGCGTCGCCATCCCTTCTCATCCTCATAGGAGTAGGACATCTTCGTCTCAACTGGCCGCAATTGCGTATCGCTGGAGCTGCTGGACTCTGGCTCTGTTGCCATTATGACCTGTGGCAGAGGAGTGGGATGGATGGAAGAATGTAAGAGCGCCAAGCGTTAGGGGTGCAAAAGAAATAGGATTAAGGGACGCTGCGGCCTCAATGAGAAGTCCTGGATGGTTGGATCTTAGACAGCCGCCTCGTTCGTATGAGACAGGAAGCTTGTATTATACGGGATGCAAGAGTCAGGCCCAGGCCAGAAATCTTCCGAAAGAAAACATAACTGCAGGGGCAAAGGGTGCGCCGCCGTCTATCTAGGGTAGGAGCGGTACTAGAACCGTTGCCCGGCGTGACGTCACAGGATCAAATGTTTCGGCTCCATTCGCAGCATCCGGTATGGGGACTGCCATTGCTTTCGGTATGTCTACCGCCCCGACAAGATATCTGGCTGAGCATGCGAAAGCTGATGCTCCAGAAACGGCCGACTATCTATGAGAACCATCACCATCACCTATCTACATGGCTGTTATTGAGCCTCCTCGTTCCTCTGCGATCATCCTGTTCGTCGCTAGTCTTCTTCGCTGTAGATGAGATCCGAAAATGCCCGTTCCCTTCAGATCACGCATCATTTGACGCACTCTGCCAAGGGGCGACAGTGCCAAGACTCAGCAGGCAGAACCCAGCCAGTCCCGAAGGAGAATTGGGGGGAATGTACGATTTCGTCCGTATTTGCGGCACTAGCGCTGGACTAATCTTCACTTTTCTGCCCGGGCAGCATAGACTTAAACGAACCACAGTGGCACCGTGGCAGGTCCCGTCATTCCCTGGCCACCGTGCCCCCAAACCCGCTCACGTAGCGTTGAGCACATCGCTCCAGAGATGTTTCCATTGCACTTGGTGCAGACGAATGATACGATGGGAACTATGTGACTATGATGCTTCACTTGGCCGCAAACCGGAGTACCTTTGCCGACACAGCTGTCTCCTCACCGTTACCAGTCAAGAAACTAGAGGTAAACCAGCGTCTGTTGAGTCGCTCATAACTTTTAGGGGAAGTAAAAGGCATTGCAACAGTTCAGCAGCTGCGTGATACGTGCTACTCTGAATGGAGAACATTCTATTTCGTCGACACACTCAAGCGATCAGGCAATTGTGATTGATGTGACATTCGCCTCCTGTTCCAACTCAACATAAATATCTCGGCACAATACTTTGATTCAAGATTGCTTGCGACGAACGCTTGGCTTCCGCGCATGTGGCAGACCTTCATTCCACTTTCATATCTCCGAACTGTCGTTCAGTGGCGTGGAGATGAGAGTCGACTTGTGTGTTAAGTTTCCCCCCGGACGAGGCTGGTTCCATCCTGGAGAAGAGGTGGAGGGAACGATCGATGTTCATGTGCAAGACTCGGTGGCTATTGCCTCTATCATGGTCTCACTTCAAGGTATTCAGTGATATGGTCGATTCCGGTGGCTCCAGCTGCTAATGGAAATGTCTCTAGGCAGGCTAGACATCAGATGCGCCGTTGTATTGACACCAGATTCCTCCACCAAGATGCCGCAATCGAACACAACACAACAGTCACGCAAGGCAAGTACTCTGAAGCACACAGCGCATGGGCTCGCCGCCTGACAATGGGCGGGAGCAGATTTTCAAGCGGTCGTCACAGATCGCCCAGGCCGCGGGAACTCTCAAGGAGGGGAAGCATTGCTTCCCCCTGTCACTTTGTTTTCCGCATTCCACAGCTGACCCCCACTGCGAGACCATTTGCCTCCCACCGTCGACAGGGATCAACACTGCCGGCCTGAAAGTTACCGTCGCCTACGTATTGAAAGTGAAAATTCAACGACAAGGGATTCTTCGTTTCAATACTGTCAAGAAAACAGAACTCCTCTTCCGGCCCCTGCCTCAATTTCGAGTTATTTCGCCGACCATCGGTGATTGCTCGTGCACCAATTCCATCGCAGCCGAGGAATTGGAAACTCCGCAGCCGCTGGCGCAGGTCCGGAGTACCCTGCCGGCATACAGCCCTTCCCTGCAGCTGAAGATGACCATTCCGGCGCCGCCGGTGCTAAACCCCCATAAGCCCCTAGCGTTGGCTCTGGAGGTTTCCGTTCAACCTGACTTGATGCAGAGGCTGGGGCCAATCTCACTACGGAATCTGGTGCTGCGCCTTCGCACTACTACGGCAGTATGCGTGGGCCAGAGCTCGCGAGAGGACGTCAGGTATGATCCCATTTGCGGTGTTGTGGGCGATATACCGATTGCTCCTGCGGAAGGGCCAAATGGCTTTTCTCTTGACCCCGGCATTTGGAAAAGCCACATCGTCCCACTTGTTTCACCAACCTTTGGATCTTCCGTGCTTTCAATCAGGCACGCTTTGGAGGTTATCTGTGGGTTTTCCACAGGTACACACAAGAGGATTCAGGTATGCCGTCAAAGCGAAAAAGACATAGACATGAGCTGACTGTGAAGGTACAAGTGCTTGCGAACGGGCGTTGAGGTAATTATCGCGGATGCAGAGTTCAACGACCCCCCGCCAGCTTATGCCATGATCAATGGTATTGAGGAACTGGCCTGCTCCTCCAGTGATGACTTGTAAAATTGATTTTTCAATCTAGTTCATACTTTAGCTGAAATATCAACAAAAGCCATTCTTCGCGATCATCAACGTTCCCACCCTTCCGACGGAATTACACACTGGTCCCAAGTGAAGAATGCTCGGCGAAAGGTAATGTTTTGGTCTACAGTGATCAACTTCTTAATCTTTCTATATTCCATCATGGAGGCACCCTTTGTGCACCATGAACTCTTAAGGGCTTTTGACAGCTCTCTTGCGCCAAAAGTCTGCAACCTCGTAGTCGAGCTTTCTCTGCGTAGGCCCGGCAGCCCAACCACTTGTCCTCAACTCGGCGACCCGGAGCCAGGGAGTCATGGCCTCTTCCCGATTGCCAACCCCGGCGAAGTGAACAAGGAAGTCTCCGGGCCTTGCATGATACGCCTCCAGTTTGACCTGCTCATCCGCTGTGAAGTCCCTCTGTGGACCAGGGTAAGCATTGAACCACCACTGAGGTACCCACGTCACATTGTGTCGAAACTTTTCTTCTTGAAGGAGAAGCTCCATGGCACTTTGCTCCGTAAACTTCAGCTCCACGTCCGGCTTGTAGTGTCGGTAAGACAAGATCGAGTCGAAGAGGTCAACGCTCCACCTGTTGACCCTCAGTAAGAATACCCCGTTGTTCAAACCATTCCAGTCCGTCGTCGCAAGGAGGTGAATGTTGCCTTTGGGGAACTTGTCTCGCTTGGTGATGTATGCCGGGTCTGGTCCGTTCGCGGCCCATCCAGGAGCAGGGGGCAGGAAACTTGCTGGAGACCGGCAGTTGTCCAGAACGATGGTGTCACGGTCTACCCACATCAACCATTCCAGTCTCTCTTCTTTGGGTTTCGCGAGCTCGTCGAGAAGGATCGAAAGAATGAAGGCAGGTTTGTTCCATAGATCGTCGACGATGTTTTCGCAGAGGACATGAACATCGGTGCCGTGGATTATGCTGTGGACCAGATGGGTCCGCAAGGCTCGTTGATAGTGGTGCTGGGGCTCGCCGAATTGAGCGGTGACTGTTGCAATTCGTGGATTCTCACGATTCATCTCCGCAGAGTTGTTCTTGCAGTATTGAATGCTTCTTGAAACGTCTTCAGATAGAGAACCATGAATGAACGGAAAACAGTCGTCGCCTCCATGGCAGTGTAAGTGAGAATGCGAAGGCTCCGTCCTACGACGAGGCAGTCGGGCCAGGTAAGGATAGTACATGCAAAACAACTGTATTGTTGCAATCAGTTGAAATATAATGAACAAAGCCTTTGCTGACGGAAAGGCTGTTGGGAATTTCATGGTTCAGAAGACGGAGATTGGTAGCAGTGAGGTTAGACGAGTATTGTCATAGACTTCAGCAAAGTTCATGGAAAGGAATGGCGCTTTATCCAAATGTTCCACGACTCTTCCTCATTTCCATTGCGTATGTTGTGACAAGGTTTCAAGACATTGCTTGGCAAGTATGCATCAATGTCGTCCTGCTACTGCTCTTGGCCCTTGGCACTGCATTGGCACCCATGAATACGACAAGCTGATCCCACCGCGGCGGGACGTCGAAGCGGCTCATTCCGGGGCTGAGCAGCACATAGAATTCTGCCCTGGCAGTTATTTCATTCTTGGCTCTACCCCTAATGAAGGCAATCGTCTTTCAGGAATCGTTCCGACATATGGAACCCGACTCAAGAAAACAGCGGTCCAGATTCGCCGGGATACACTGAAAGAGATACATTTGGAATCTAGACCAAAGCGTTATGCTTGAAGACGAGCAGTGATTCGAACTCACTCTCCTCTTCAGCTGGACTTAGGCAATTGTCATGAGATAGTCACCAAAGTAGGCCGTACGAATGGATGCAACAAGCGACAGGTAGTTTCTTTCCAACCTAATGCCCACATCAAATGCCCGCCACTCTACGTCTGTCACTATACATGCCAAATGGATCCACCATGACACATCGTGCAGAATAATCGTTTCATCTACTTAGCTTGAGACTTTACAATAGAAAGCACCATCAATAAGTCTTGTCTATTTGCTCACATACAAGTCCCAGCTTGCCACTCCCCGAATTTGAGTACGGGATGCCGGCCAGCAGGGTGATCAACATAGAACACAGCGAAAAGCATTGCCACTTCCTTTGACGATCGCAACATGCAACGCTTTCACCAACGCAAACGTAATATTACTGCTATTAGGTGTGTTGCCGGAGGAGTACACTTTCCTTCACCAGGCTTTATGATTCCAACTCCGCTGACTGAGTCTAATGCTAGGTGTCGAGCAACTTGCGAATGGCAAGGTATTGGAAAGTCTAGTCATCGAAGCTGTTACGCCGATCCAAAGGTATGTTTTGTCGAAGCTGAAGACACGTGTCGCCTTGCTCATTGTCCAGCCAATCTAAATCAGGAAACGTTGCACCGTCTTCGTGATGTATGTTTACGAAATTGCTGGCGCTTTTGCTAAGCCTATTTCGGATTTGATGCCGCGAATGTCAGACTGTGGACAAAGAACAGGCAGCAGTTTTGGAGGAGATTGCTTGGCTAGAAGGCAGACTCAGGCGTCCTCCAATAAAGCCGGTGATTCTGAGACATGAGGCATTTTGAGGGACGAGAAAGCTATTGCCAAGGGTTGCCTCAGTCGAAATTAGAGACAGATTCATTTCCCTGTGTATCCATGGATGTCAGCTGCCACTGTTTTCATTACATTTAGAGGAAAGGATGGCCCCCTTTGACAGAAGAGCCTGCGAGGCAAATTTACGTTTCTCTGAATCCACCGTCTTGTACATTCAATTCAGTCGTCTATGTCTACTTTAAACGACTGTTAGTTCCTATTTACCGACCTCCCTACCATACCTTGGCCTCCTACTGACCGTTTTCCGCGATGGCTCGTCCATTTTGGTCCCAGCTTTCTTCGAAGCACAGAAAGCCACGCCTGCCGAACCTTTCAGAATGGGTTCGACTACCCAGCGGATGGCGAAAATCAGCAGTTATCAATATCGGACTTATGTCAGTTTCAATGGTGGTTCTGATCGCCTTTCTGGCTGTTGCGATATCCGAGACTGGCGATATCAAGCAGGCCTGGAAATTCTACGAAAGCGATTGTAGACACGACAACACGAATAATATGAATACTCTGCTGCATTTACTCATCAATGCGCTCTCGACTGTTGTACTCGCGTCTTCAAACTTCTTCATGCAGGTTTTGAACGCACCTTCGAGGCGAGAGGTGGATGCAGTACACGCTCGAGGAAAATGGCTTGATATCGGTATTCCCTCGTGGAGAAATACTTTCTTTCTATCACGCTTCAGCTGGCTGTATGGATTAGCTTAGGTTTCACATCAATCCCCATTCACATGCTGTTGAACAGCTCAGTATTTCAGATGACCAGTCGATTTGGGGACTTTGGACTTTATGTCGCCAGCGAGTCTTTTCTAACGGGGGAGCCATACGTCTTCCCGGGGGCCAGTTTGTATATCAAAGATGACTGGGACTTTGAGGATCTCAAAACCGAACGAACTTCGGCAGCACGAAGCAATATCTCAACAACGGCAGCTACGGTCTCTGAATGGGAGCGGCTGGACGCAATTCAATGTCAGAACATGTATCGGCCCGGGCTTTGCAATGGCTTGAAAGACTATCACAACGTCGTATTGGTAGTTGATGGTCCGGGTTGGACGCGAGACGATCTTTGGAACCTTTCGATGATCGCTGATCGGCTCTGAGAACCGGTTATCCCACGATACGACTTGAATTCTCTGTTGATGGCAGATCAATGCAACATGTCAGGCAACACTTGGAACGGAGTTCCGGAGTGCGGTGTGGACTGTCGCCAATTGCGGAAACGAGATGGAGGAAGCCGCAGCAGATCATTGTCATGGGCAATTTCAGAACCTGAAATTCCGTGGTTCATTCACATCGACGATTCGTTCACGTGGCGGAACAGAACGTTGTACTCGGCTACCGAAGGAGAACGTTATGACGACTACAGATTTGGAGCCCGAGTCACCTCGTTCGAAGTATCGTACTGCATGGCAGAGCCGTCGATGGCTACTTGCTCAGTAGCCTTGTCAAAACCCCTCATGCTTGCTGTCGTATTGTCGGTCTTTTTGAAATTGGTTATTTGTGTAGTTGTTGTTCGGTTCATTGGTCCCCAAGAACCGCTTGTTACCCCTGGAGACGCTGTTATGTCGTTTATCTCTACCGAGGACAGGGGATCATTCTCCGGAGTTGTGACACAAGAAATGATTCGGCGAAGGAAGAGGAATTCCAACGTCATGACCGACGTGTACGCGTTTGAATCACTTGAGTCTCGGCATTGGGTCAAGAAACAACAACTCAGGGTCATGGCTATTCCCCGAGGAGTCTGGGTAAGAACCTATGGCGTATTGCTGATCGGAATAATTGCTGCATCAGTCTGCCTCTGGCAACAACTTTCGAGTGGGACATCTTTGTAAGCAAAAGACTCGCATCTGAAGTTTTGAAGTCCACTAATCCCTCGAAGGCGAGGCATAAAGCTGAACGTGGATGAGGCAAGCAGTTTTCTTTATCCCGTTATGGGACCATCTCCTTTTCCCTCTTCAATGGTCATCGCAAATATTCCGCAACTCTTTCTTTCCTTTTGGTATCTCACGTATAACTCTTTAATCACTCGACTGGAAATGAGCAAGGAATGGGCACTTCTTTCTGTTGACTATCAACCACTACGCGTCACCCAACCCAGGTAGGTCATCTCTTCAGTTTTATTCCAATTAATATAGTTGAAGGGTGCTGTGTAGCGATCGACTACCTAGGCCAGCTGTTGGAGAGGGCTCCAGAATATCTCTCTCCTTACGTTCACCACCATACTTCTACCACTCCTGGGGCTAACTCCAAGTTTCCAGAGGCCTCCAAACTTCGACGTACCGTCTGCAGTTGCCATATAAATACAGTATTCCCATGATTATACTTAGTGCTATTGGTCACTGGCTGCTATCCAATGCGGTATTTATAATTGTGTCTCAAGGCTGTAAATGAAAGCAATAGCAATATTATTGCTGAATCTGACTGACCGCATAATTGTCTCGTGGCAGCTTACTACGTAGATGGCGATGGAATAGGATCTTCGAGCGACCCGACTAGTTTGTCTTCAGATGCTGTGGTCTCTATTGGCACGGCGTCACTGCCAGTTCTGGTTCTGACAATCCTTGGCCTCATCGCATTATTACTGCCTATCCTGCTATCAAGAAGAGTCCTGCCAGGCTACATGCCTATAGTTGGGTCGAATTCTCTAGCAATATCCGCAGCATGCCATGTTTCCCCGCTGGCAAAAGTTCCTAAAGGTGATGGAAATGAAGTTGACGCCAGAACGTGGAAGCAAGACGCTACGGAGCTTCAAGATCTCTTAGCAGTGGCCAATCAGCATCAAGAAAGCGAACGAAGCCCTACCGGGATGAAGAGTATGGTTCTTTACCCCTTAAAGTGGGGTGATGTAAAGATGCCGGAGGACTGGTATAGTGAGATGGGCCACGAGGCGAACGATGTTGGTCATCTTAGCTTTGGGACCGTGGCCGATGACCCTCAGCCTCCGAAGGACGGCCGTTGGTACAGATGAAGGGGAGCAGGAAACACAGTTGCAGGGGCCAGCGACCGCAGCGACTCCAGCGTCGGATACTTGATCAAAGTTAAACACCAATCGAGAAGTTGTTGGAATAGCCGGTATGACTAAGGAAATCATGAACATGAGGAGAGCATGATGGCATTTGGTCAATCTGGACGTTGCGTTCCCGTAATGATAGCCAGCCCTGTTCAAGTTGTCATCCGGAATGAATAGCGGACAATGAATCAGTAAAGACGAATCACATCAATCAAGCATCCACAAATAAATGTGGTTGGCGAGAGCTGCACCTACCTTATGCCTTGAGTGAAGGAATTCCGGGTTATCAAGCCTCGGGCAACTCGTCCGATTGTCGGTTGAGATCTACTGTACGGTAGCATCACCTAGGTTCAATTCAGCAGGTCAGTTCAACTTCATCCAGCTTGCGGGGTAACAGGGGGTTGCCTACGAATACTGCGTCGTTGCCAAGACACAACAACCCCATATGCCAAGAATCCCCTTGATACGATATCGGAGTGTCATAACCGAACTTGAGCGAAGCAGGATGCGACTCAAAATTCCACTTTATTATTCGTTCATATTTACTAGATTATGTCTCGTCTTTTGGCTGGACATGAGGCACGAGCTGCTCGGATCTCGCAACCATGCAATCTTTACTGAAATCCACAATTGCCATTCTCGCGTCAAGCACTCTGCTGCACTCATGTGTCAGTTGCCAAGAACTGGCGGACCAAGTCTTTGCTGCCATTGACTCCCGAAATGATGGTCTAAGAACACTTAACACAGAGGTAAAGCAATTATCATCAATTGACTGCAATTCCAAACAAACTACTGTTGCCTATGCTTACTGACATAATCATAAAGATTTGGGAGAATCCGGAAATTGGGTACCAAGAGGTCCACGCACACCAGGTTCTCACCGACTACCTCGAAGAGCAGGGGTTCAAAGTCACTCGCAGCGCCTACAACTTGAGCACCGCCTTTAGAGCCGAGTTCTCCAACGGTGAAGGACGTGCCGTGTCGTTTAACTCTGAGTTCGACGCTCTTCCGGGTTTGGGCCACGCTTGCGGGCATAACCTTATCGCCACCGTTGGTGTTGCCGCGGCAATCGGCGTGAAGGATGCACTTGAGAACGGGAGCGTGAAAGGCTCAGTGGTGTGAGTCCGCTTGCCATCCAATCGGTACAGTGAATTGACAACGATATTGCAGCCTTCTAGGTACTCCTGCGGAAGAAGGGGGTGGTGGCAAGGTGAAAATGCTTGAGGCTGGCGCGTATGACGGCCTTGATTGCAGCTTGATGGCTCATCCAGGAAACTCCGACTATGCTGCTTGGGGTAGAACTCTGGCTTCTTGGCGTGGTAACGTCTCTTGGACTGGAGGCAAGTGACTGTTACTTTGAGCTCTTCTCAACGACTTTCGCTTACCTTGTCTCGTCATCAGTTGCCGCACATGCGGCTGCAGCTCCATGGGCTGGTCAAAATGCTCTGGATGGCTTTGTTGCTGCTTACCAGATGGCTGGGCTGTTCCGCCAACAACTTCAGCCTTCTGATAGAATCCATCATGTTGTCACAAAGGGATGGTCCGTGGCAAATATCATCCCGGACTACATCGAAAGCCAGTGGGGTGTGAGAGGAAACTCCAGGTGTGTTCGCCACCACGTGTCACATTTCTTTGGAACCTGCGGGTGACTGACTGTCAGACCACGACGTGATGTTGTCCTCGACCAGGTTCAGTCTATACTGTACGCGTCCGGCAACGGAACGAACACTACTGTGGAGATTACGCCTTTCCAAGACTACTGGGATCAAAATCCTAGTTATCAACTGGCGAGCACTTTCTACCAATACCAGATGAAGTATCTTGACCCGGCTGATGACCCGAAAACGGCCAACTTCACCGTTTCCTCCCCTGAAGAGTCACGGCGAGATGGAGGCGCCTCCGCGTCGTCTGACCAGGTACGCCCATACAACAAAAGCACGTTCTCAAAGAGACATTTTATAAACTGCGGTGTACAGGGTAATGTGTCTTGGTTCCTCCCGGCCATTCAAGTTGGCTTCCCCGTTGGTGGAGGTGCTCCCGTACACAACGCTGGCTTCCGAGAGCTCGCAGGAACGGTAAGTTTGGGTTCTTATCGAGGAATACCACTTGTGCCAGATCGCTGATCACTATTTAGGACTTTGCCCACGAGTCAGCTATCCAGACTGCGAAGATTTTAGCACTGACCGGTCTCGAGGTGTTGAAGAATGAGACGTATGCGGAGGCCACGTGGGAGGAGTGGAGAGCCATGATCGAAGAGGTATCGGTCTCGATATAGACAATAACAAACTTGCACATGAGGAAGTGACGACGCTTGCTGTAGTGTTCGAGTTGGCCGAGGTATCCTGAAAGAGGAAGAGGACATTATGACTTAGCAACAATAGATCGAGAGGGAGTTTTGACGAATTCCGAAAACACTGGTAGCTTTCATATAATCATGCACTTTCTCTTGTCCCGTTCTCGGCGATGCCGGCCTAAAGTGGCTTTTCTATGACCATCATCCCGCACCACAAATCAAATCAAAAGCGATGCGCGTTGCAATCCTTCACCAGAGTCAATATTCTCACTCGTGTGGTCCAGGCTCCCTATGTTTCTACGCCACTCCCTCCTCGCTTCCCAATGCAATCAAACCATGAGTCACGATTGCGTTCTCCCACCCAACCTGACTGATCTCGGCAATGTTGATGCGGTATGCGACTCCATCGGATCTGCGTGCAACTTGCAATGCAACTCGTTTCTTCTCGAAGTCTGGGGGTGCCGTGTTTTCTGCGATGACTACAAATTCGTACTCTCCGCTCTTACTTGCACCAGCAGCAAAGCTTTCTTTGCATCGGCCAGTTTCGCCCACTTTTTTGCCATTAGAGTCAACGATGTGCTGGACATAGTATGCGTGCTGGTTTCTCTCAAGCGGGTTCCAGCCAGGCTGCCAAAGGTCTGACTTGATGGGCCCCGTCACTCGAAAACGCGCCGAGTCAGCCCAGAAAAATAGAATCTGATCTTCCGGTGTTCTATCGAGTACTTCAGTCGTCAAAGCAGGATAGTGATGCTTGACCACATCCAGGAAAACTGCAGAGCTTCCTCTTGCGACAGGTGGGTTTTTAAGATTATCCAAGAACAAGAGGCGGACTTGAACTAGTCTCAATGGTTCGCGTCTCAGAATGTAGCAAGAAATGACGGGATCCAGCCTTTGTTTTCGTCAGTGATTTTAACCATTGGTTTTCCTGGCAGAGCTTACCCGGCTTCAACATGGCGATCTTCAATTGTCAGCCCAATAGGGCCTTTCCAGCCAATCCAACTCCAGCTGGGGAATGGGACCTTCTTCTTAAGAGATGTCATCGGTAGAGTAGTCAGGGCTGTACGCCTTCTCACCCCCTCCAAGTTTGGCTCCCAGCATAAGCCGAGTTCGAATCTTGAAGTCGGCAGGCCCCATAAGAATTGCTCTCCTGAAATCTCTTGTGCCTGTTGAATGATAGCCGAGAAGGCGTTGTAAGCATCACCTTCCCCAGTGAGCTCTCTGTTCGAATAGTCACGTGCGAGGCGATGCAGCTTGTGCCACATCTGATCACCATCCATCTCAGACGCGTACCGGTCTCTGTATGCCGAATTGAGATAGGATTCGGAACCTGACAAGTTGAACCACGAAACAACTGCAGAAGCCTCCGAGTTGGTCTCCTCACTCCAGTGTGACTCGCAACAAGCCCAGGTGATTTGCTCGTCAAGGAACGTTATGCTCCTTCGTGAGACGGCTCGTTCTTGCAATGTCCACCCTCTAGAGGACCACGTCGTCTCCGAGTTGAAGTTTGCAAAGCGGCTCGATGTATGGCTCAATGTAGACAACAGGGATATCTCCTCCTCGAATGTTGATGTTCGTATTGTGATTTCCTTCGGCATTCGCTTTCGGTCGGTTGAAATGCCAGGTAAACCGGCGTGAGAGTCTTTGCCGCTCGCAGCAATGATGGTGAGCAGGGCATTGGCGTATATGTCCGCCATTTTGCCGATCTGCACTGCTTTGTCCTCATCGCTGTCCTGAATGATACAGAGAGCATCTACCCATATGAACCGAGTCCCCATATCTTTCGTGAACTTGCAGGCGTCCTCAATGGTTTGAGATAGGTTGCCTTTTAGCGAGTCTTTTTTTAGTAGGTTGTTGCGATTCGCCTTGAATAACATCTTTTTCTGGGGGGTTTTTCCCCACACGTAGCTCAAAGTCATGTAGTTCAGACTTTTGAGCTGTACGTTTCTGCGTTCCACAATTGCCATCGTTTCTACATCTATGAGGCGAAACAGTGGCATATACCCAGGAATATTTGCAACATATAGTTTTGTGAAGAGGTTGCGCCAAAGTCTTGCGATTCTGAGACAAAAGACAAACAAAAGGCTTCGATTTCTGGTCAGTCTTTGATGAAAACTTGCACAGTAACGTAACACACTGACCTGGAGCCTACACCTCCGTCTTGATCTTCGTCTCGATCTTCCACTTGTGCAGAACCACACGATGAGGTGTGCGTTTCCTTGCAATGTTTAACCCATTGAATTGGAAGATGCATGTCCACCTTAGATGGCCTCTTTCTCCCCGCAAAAAGGATGTCGCCTGGGTTATGAGGGCCTCCAAAGAAGGTTTCCACTTTGAAGGAATCCTGCGATCTTGCGGCATCATACGTCTGAAAACAGTGAAATATCCGCTTCCAAGACGCCTTCTTGAAGCCCACGCGTCCAGGATTTAGTCCATTTGTGCTGTTCTCGTCGAACGGAATGAAGTAAATTGCCAGACGTCTCATGATGAACTCCGGATTCGCCTCTCCGGGCTGAGCTCCTTCCCAAGCAGTAGCCTTCGGAGGTTGTAAGGCCCCGGCAATGTCACATGTAGCATAGCACAAAGGATCCTTCAAGCCAACCGCCTCTAATTTTGTCAGCTCATCTTCATACTGAATAAGGACCTCTTCGACAGCTTTGCAAAAGACACAGGTGTCCGCAGAGGCACGGATTCGGTCCGCACGACCCAAGGTCCAACTCGGGTCGCCATCGATGGGTTGGCCAAACTTGAGAGGGAATCGGTCCTCAGTAGGCCTTTCGCCAGCGTTGAGAGAGTCGATCTCGGCTGCAGTAGGATTGCGGAGGTAGCTAAAGTCGATGAGAGAGCAGTACTCGCAAAGCTGAGTGACAGAAGCCATCTTGGCTGGAGTAGGTACTTTAGAAGCGGTAGGTAAAATCATTGAGATTGTTTCCCTTGCGCGGAGAAACCTTCAAAAGTAGTCAGGCTCGAAGGCAAGCAGGCTACGAGCGATAAATGGGTCAGGCAACCAAGTTCCACGAATCCTTATCTGATTGGTGATCTGAAGTGGGCACATGAAGGCATTCACTTGGCACGCAGCCTGATTTGTCGCCGGTGTAACATTGGATGCACCAGGAAAACCAATCGGAAGCTCAGGAGTAAAGTCATCAAATGCTCCATTGTTTCTCAAAGTATGTAACTGAAGGCGAGAACAAATTAACTACATGAATCCACCCAAATGAGCCCTTCAGCGAGGCACACAAGTACCGTCAACCTCGCGCTTCCCATCCGGTCACCACAACCCCTCTGATCTCGTGAAATTCGTAAGTCGCAAAGACTTAGCCGACGGTGCAGCCACCGAGGCGGACGCTCTCAGCGTACATCTCGTAGGTGTCGGCGTTGGCGGCAGCCCTGGTGGCAGACAGAGCCTGGGCAGCGACGTAGCCGTAGCCGTAGTCGCCGGTGCCGTACAAGTGGGTCATCTCGTGAAGAATGCTGCCGGCGCGGTCGTAGTCGTCGCCGGAGCACTGAGAAGCAAGCTCGGGGAAGCCCCAGAAGCCGTTGTTGGGGCAGGGGACGATGACGTTGTCGTCGGGGACGGTGTACAGCAGGGCGGAGCCGTCGGTGCAGTCGCTGTAGGTGTCCGTGCAGGAGATCTTCGGGGAGGTGGTCTGGACGCCGGCAACGTCGTTGTAGATGGTCTGGACCTTGGAGACAACGGAGGTGGACTTGAACCAGGTGGTGTAGTAGTAGGAAGAGGTGCCAGCAGCGGTGGAGGCGGCCTTGGCCATGGAGATGGCGTTGCTGACGCTGGTCTTCAGAGCGGAAGTCTGAGAAGCGGAGCAAGAGGAGTAGGTGATGGAGCGCTTCTCGACGCGGGAGCGGGTGGGGCTGTTGCGGCGGGAGATGTGCTGCTCGGCGACAACGGCCTGGTCGGGAGTGACCGCGACCTCGCCGGAGGTGACATCGTCGCAAGAGGCGAGGCTCTTGAAGTCGGCAGGAGCCTCGGCGCCAGTGGCGTAGCGGAAGCCCTGGATGGCGGTGATCTTGGCCTCGTCGATGCCCTCGAGCTTGTAGCTCTTGGCGGCGTTGACGGAGACGGTGATAGTCTCGCCAGCATCGATCTTCTGGAAAGCGCTGGCGTCAAGGCCCTGGCGCTTGTAGTTGACGTAGATGCCCTGGAAAGGGAGAGCGTTGCCCTCTGTGTCGAGTTAGTTCATACTCTGCATGTAATAATCTGCCAATCGTCGGATTGGAGTGTGAACTTACCGGCATCGGTCACAAGGAGATCCTTGGTGGCATGGTCGCTGAAGACCGTGTTGCCCTTGAAGACCTGGAGAGTCTCGGAGCCGGTGTTGGTGACAGCGACGCTGACAACGTGGGCATCAGAGTTGGAGATCTGGACCGAGAGGGGGCAGGTGGCCGAGGCGGCACCAGCCAGGAGGGCGACGGAGAGGGCTTTGGCAACCATGTTGATCGATGGACTGGAGTGTCGAGCGGCGGCTGGAGAGACAAGACAAGAATTCGATGTTGAGCGAACACTTCTTCGCTATATATACTCGATGTTCCCCATTCTTGGCATTCTCAACAGCCGTTCACGAACATGGGCGCAGATAAGGCGTACCGGAAGCATTGCCACGTCAAGGAGGTGAATCCACGTTGAAAATCATCATGATGCAGCTTCTCAGCCGTTGAGAGTCGTAAGGCCGATGCAATCTAAGCTTGTTTTGGAAGGAGACGAATCAAGGGTACCCTCATGCAAGACATATGGGCCAAGCATGAGTTTATTCAAGAAAAGCTTCGGAAAGTCCAGCCAGGACGAGGAGGTGCGGACGCACGTTGGGTAGCATGCATGGGACAGGCAATCAAGCAAATCAGTGGGGTGGGTAGCGATGCATCTTGTGATGTCGGCATGTGGGCGGGGAGAAGAGACGGGAGCACTGGAAGAGGAGCAATTGGGTGTTTATGTTGTGGTTCCACGCTTTCCGCTAAGCAAGTTAGGAAGGCTCATTGCGGCGGTTCATCTCAAAAATGGTAGGTGCCATGGGGTAATATCCAGGGGCAGGGAGCCAGGGACCAGCGGTCGAATCATTAGCATGGATTACATATAAGATATACACAAACAGGCGGAGTATTGGGGTTCTGCGGCGATGTCCGTTATCAGTGCGCTTGATTCAAGGTTATTTTTTCAGTGTTCCCGTCAAAAGCTACGTAAAGTTAATCGCGGTAGCTCCCGGCGCGGAGCCGGGAATAGCGACGAGATGCCGAGGCAACGAACTGCTCGGATATGCCCCATTCGTGTGGATGTTGTAGTCCGGGTTTGTGTCTTGCCAACACAACCTTTCGTCTTCACTGATGGCTTGTTTTCGCAGGCAAAGAATGCATTGAACAGAGCAGTAACTTGCAATTTGAACGAGTGGGTTAAATGTTGAACGTGTCTTCAAGATGGGCTGCAATTGGCGAGCGGTAAAATGGGATGAACCTCGGCCATCAATGATCCTAGTCAGATGAGGGGACAGGCCAGCAGTGAAAGCACAGCCGGCGTAGGTCCACTTGAGCGATGTTTTTAGCAGTTCGGGAACGGCCGATCATACCAGAAAGGAAACTGAGATGGGATAGAAGCGGAAGCCTGAGGATCATGCCATGTCGGCGCTTCGCCGTCACCGACTCAGGAAGCTTGTCCATCATAGCACTAATTGCACTGAGGTAAATAGTGAACATCCCCACCATTTTTCAACCGCTGATCCGCTCTTGTTGCTCGTCCAATCATCATATTTGGAGCCGGCGACTCAGAAAATCCATCTTCACTTGTTCCAAGACTCAAAAGCCACGATGTGTATTGCAAAAAGAAGAGAAACATTCAAATGACGTTCAATTTAGGTCCGCATCCTGCATTGTGGGTTGAAGATGGCAGTCCAGCCAAGGGCGGCCAAGATTCTTGGCTGGCGGGATGTGATCGCCAAGGGTCTTGGCCAGGTGCATCAATCGTCTTGGCCGCATGACCCCCGGTTCGCTGGATCGTTTGCGAGGGGAAGAGCAAGGGAAACAGATTTTTGAAATGAAGATTAGTTGCCAGTGACTCGCTCCAATCTCACCTGTTTTGCCTTAGATCATGCCACCGGCGCTGACGCCTCGTCATTTGTTAACAACATTTTGCGACCGTAGAAATGTTGTTGCATGTCAACATGAAGACCAAAGACAATTTACGCAGTACAATTAAGGAACATAGATCGGAAATTTTTACAGATTTTCACGTCGCTTTCGGTGCAAGCAAATGATAAGGCCTTCATCTGTCTTCATCTTAGGGCTATTATCCAAATCGAGAGGGTTCACCAAGTTTGCTGCAAGGCTTATGACATGCATGGCATGTAGTACTTTTGAATAATTCCGTGAGACATGTTCACTAAGTCTGTTAACGATGATCACCAATGGCGTGAAAGGTAACACCTGCCAAGCAACCAAATGACACCATATGCAACCTCCATACACCAGATGTAGGTTGAGAGAGCCCGGATGTCGATAATAAGTAGTATGGATTCATGCATTTCCCTGCGTGTACAAAAAGCAACGTCCTATTTTCCAATGGCATGACCTTTACATGGCGATGCAATGCATTTAGACGCAAGTTAGCTGGTTGCTCTGTTGCTATGATGAGGTTTATCCCTGGGTTCCTTCATGAGGAAATAATTGCTTGTATATTTCATGAAACGCCAGGCAACCTTAAAAGCATCCTGTTTCCCAATCATGCTAAGTTTGCGTATTTAAGAACACACTTACGCAAGAATCGGTTTCTGTTACTAAAAGAAATTGAATCCTTCACATCAAGATAGACTGAAACTTGGGCGGTGGTTATCTTCACGCGAAATTATCCCTTTTTAATTTTCTTTTGCTTTTTCAAGCATTCTTGGACGCTTGCGGATTCGCAACTCATCCAAATGGGATAAAGCCACCTCGAAGTTGACGATAATGAAGACGTATTATTCTATTTGTCTATTGACTCTGTTCAAATAACCTCTAGTACTTGTTTGACCATGGCGATTGCCTTCTCTTCCTCTAGGCGTCTAGCAACAAGTTGCAAGCTGATTGGCATTCCATGAACATCGTTCGGGTCGTCTGCAATAGTGGTTAGCGATGATAGATGAATTCTTATCTTATTGTACTCACATTCGGCATGAACTGCTTCGCAGACCGGTCCCAACGGCGTGTCTCCTGAGCTGGGTGCGTCCACACTCTTATCCGCAGTCAAGCCAGTAGGGAAAGACACGCAAGAATAATCCAGCACGTTGTAGACACCGGTATATCCCACTGCATCATTGTTAGCACCTTATTCTCACTTCTAGTCAAAGGATACAACTCACCATGCTTGAACGTGCCGTTCTTGACACTTGTAAACGGCGTTGTAGGGCACAAGATAGCGTCAATACCCGCTGCAACCCAGCGATCGAGGTACCTCTTCTGGAACGCCGTCCTCTGTAGGTGCAGCTGCCACATGTCATATGTGCCGAGCTCCTTTGCCTTGGAGTAAGCCGCCATCTCAGGCCTCCACGGCTCTTCCGTCTTGTCCAGCTCCTTCTTGATGGAAATACCGCCGTCCGCGACGAACATGCGGTCGAGCAGACTCAGTCCCTCCTTCTGGTCCTTCGGGTCCCACTCAACAATCTCGTGACCTGCTGTCTTGAGCTTCTCGACGGTCTCATGGAGGGCGCGTGCAACGGGAGGAGTCGGCCTGACCATGCCGTCGTTCCACATGACAGCAATCTTAAGCTTGCTGGGGAGTTCGACATCTCTCCACGCGATGGGGACGCAGCGAGGGTCATATTGCCACGTTTGGCGGTTGACGACTGTCTTGCTGTAAAGCTCGAGGTCGGTGATGGTTCGGGTCATCGGGCCGTTGACGGACTGGACTGCTTCTTGGCCGCCCATACCGGATCGGCAGCCGAGAGTGGGGAAGCGGCCGAAGGAGGGGCGGAGGGTGAAGATGCCGGTGCACGCGGCCGGAATGCGCAAGGAGCCGCCTGCAAAGCTTCTTGTTAGCGATCACGACGGAAGATTATTCGGCAGAGCTTTCGGGACGTACCAATATCAGTGCCGATGCCCCATGGGCTGCCTTTCATCACGATCAGAGCAGACTCTCCACCCGAACTTCCACCACTAGTAAGATTCCTGTTCCTCGGGTTGACAGTCCTTCCAAACACGTTGTTGACCGACTCAGCAATCATCATCGCGGTAGGAACGTTCGTCTTGACGTAGAACACGGCACCAGCCTCTTCCAGCAGTGTCGCCAGCGCAGCATCGTACTCGGCCGGGCTACCCACGTGTGAGGCAATTCCTACAGTGGCGTCCAGGCCCTTCAGGTTGAAGTTGTCTTTGAGCGAGATCGGCAATCCATGGAAAGGTCCTACTGGTTTACCGGTGCGCTCCAGGTGCTCATCGAGAGCTTGTGCCGTTGCGAAGGCGCGGTCAAAGCATGTTTCAGAGAGGCAGTTTGTCTTAAAAGCGATTGTCAGCGCCAGTCGATTCTATGTCAACTCGCGCAATCTCAGACTTACCAGTTGATGCGCCGCCGCAGCGCGCTTACAAAAAGCCTTGGTGACGTCAATAGACTTGAGCTCTCCAGACGCAAGCTTGGGAAGAAGCTCAGCGGCGTTGAGGTCAGTGATGGCGAGCTCTTTCGGGGTGAACCAGCCAGAGGCTTCAGGCCAACCTGTGACGTCCTCCTGGGACTCTGGAGGGAGCAAGTCCTGCGGGATGCGCCATTCTGAAGGGATCGATGATGCGAGGGCCTCGCGCTTCTTGGCACCGGCCAACTCCCAAGGAGCGGAACCTTCCGTTTTAAGACTGCCCATGATGTGGTATTAAATTCGGGGACGATTTTCCGTATCGCGGCGCGCAAGTTCGAGTGTGCAAGACAGTTCACGATAAGAGAGATTCTTCAACGCGCGCACCGAGACACGTCAAAGTTGTTAAATACAAGCACGCGCGGCTACCGGGGGCATAAGGATCCTCCTCATGGCGCAATACAGCACCGGTCATCGGTGATGGACTCGGGACGCATCGTCCGAGATCGTGCATCTTGCGAGGGGAAACGACTAGAGGGCGAGCTAACAGTGCTAGAACGGCGCCGCGGAGACTGTGAGGGGGGGCAGGGGATCCATTTCACGATTTGGGGTCAATCGCTGAGGGTGGGTGTCTCGGCAAGATAAGACGGCGGCCCGGGAAACTCAGCTCTGAGCACCCGTCCCTTCTTGTCTGTTGCTACCAAGCTGCCGGGGTATCGTTATCCAGTCCCGGCAGTGATAAAGCTGCATATTTATCGATCACAGGAACGATGGACATGCGGAGACTCGTATGATGCATGAAACCCCGTGGGCAAATGCAGGCCGATACAGGTGTCTGGGCGCAGAAGACTGCGGAGGTGGTCGCGCTGAAGATGAGTCCCAAGCCGTCCTTCGGCCGGTTTGCAACCGTCAAAGATGCCGTCAAAGACGATTTCGTTGAAGAATCGCGCCAAAGACGGACGGCGGCATCCGTTGGCTTTCCTTGCCGCGAATGGCTGAGTCAATGACGTACCTTGGCGCTACAGGGAAGAGACAAACAGACACCACGGGCGGGAAAGATTTAGGCGTCGTTAGTGCACCGGATGAATACCCCGAGCCGACAAGGGCTGTTCCAGCGAATATCCCCGCATCTTGTGATGTCTTAAAAAGGACGTGGTCAAGATGTTTCTCACGGCAGACAAGTCGGTTGAGAGAATCTTGTCTATTCAACGTCCACGGGTAGCAAGACGCGCTGTATCGAGCGCGAAGTGGGACGCGTCTAGCGATTCCGACTAGCCCTAATTCTCTCAACTCAATTCACGATTGATATCGCCGAGCGCCGATGACTCCAAACTCTGTCCTGAAATAATCGCCAGCCTCAATCGCCCCTCGTCCACGCGTCAAACTGGTCACAGGGCTGAGCGATTTGGGGGTTGGTTGCACCGCGTATCCGGCGTGGTTGAGCTTCGCATATACAGAGGCGCAACAGCCTCAAGGGCCGTCTCGGACAAGGACCCCGAGAGCCGGGAGGTAAGCTTATCGCTCCTTTCTGGTTGGTGATAAGACGATCGCACCCTGATGGGAGCACTCAGTGATAACGAGTCTTGGAAGCCTTCACAGTGCCGCAGATCCGCCGAATCACAACGCTTTGCGACGGAGCTGACACGGTCGGCAATCAGAATAACCTCCGACACGGACATGCGATAAGACGGCGTGAACAGCGCAAGAAAAGGTCGCAGATAGTCGTCTAAACGGTATTGCTCCCGCCAATTCTGCCAGGGCTACCACGAATCCCGCGAGAAGGAAGTCGTTTCTGGGGTTGTTGGGCCACCAAAGCAAGACCCTGGCCCCCTATCGCTTGGCTTTGCTGCCTTATCTTGACCCTATCATCGCGACGACGATAAGTCCAGGGCCCGGTTAAGGGAGTTCTGATAGTGAGAAGGGCGACGTGACTCGGTGAGCTCATAAGAAGCCGAGACAGTTTCTTCAGTATTACTGCAACCTCTTGAGTGAAAGGAATGCCTGGTTTTCCGACTCCAACCTTCTTCGTAATTGGTCTCTGAGATTAGAGACTCTAGAAAGTCGTCAGGATGGCCCTCGATAAGATTCGCCAGTATTTGCATGTCGAATACCAGCCCGGCGAACGGAAGCTCATCCAGAAGGTGCGCTCTTGCATTGGTGACAAACCATAACATGCCCGCTGATTGGATCCTAGATTGACTTCTTCATTCTCACATTCTGTTGTTTGAGCTACCTGGTCAACTACGTAAGTCCCACGCATCTACAACTTGAGGAATTAGTTTCTCACAATAGCGCAGCTTGACCGAACGAACCTGAACAATGCCTATGTCTCTGGTATGAAAGAAGAGCTCGGCTTCGTTGGCGACCAGCTCAACCAGATCAACACCTGCTTCACTGTAGGGTAAGTCATCTCCAACACCCCATCGCTTAGAGCTAGCACTGACGAAGCCCGCGTAGCTATGTCATTGGCCAGATTCCCTCTAACCTCTCTCTTCACTATGTGAAACCGCGATTCTGGTTTCCGCTCATGATGATCATCTGGGGCGGCCTCACCATGTGCACCGCCAGTGTGCACAGCCCCAAGGCCATCATGGCCATCAGATTCTTCCAGGGAGTCGCCGAAGCATCAACCTTCGTCGGCACGCACTACATCCTCGGAGCATGGTACACGGAGCGCGAGCTCGGCAAGCGAAGCGGCATCTTCACCGCGTCCGGCCTCGCGGGAACCTTCTTCGGCGGCTTCATCCAGACCGGCATCCACAGCAGCATGGACGGCCTCCACGGACTGAGCGGATGGCGCTGGCTTTTCATCATCGACGGCCTGATGACCATCCCGGTTGCCATCTATGGCTTCATCTTCTTCCCCGACACGCCGCACACAACTAAAGCGTTCTATCTCACTGAGGAAGAGCGCAAGCTGGCTGCGTCCCGCGTGCCCGAGATCCAGGAGAAATCGCCGCTCACCTTCCGCTTCGCCAAGAAGGTGCTGACTTCGTGGTACTGGTGGGGATTCGTCATGCTTTGGATCATCGCCGGAGAGACGGAGTCTTTCAGCACCAACTCGCTTCTAGGACTGTACATGAAGAGCCACCCGACGAATAAGTACACCATCCCCCAGCTCAACAACTACCCTACGGGTGTCCCGGCTGTCGGTATCGTCTCAACCCTATTCTGGGCAACCCTCACCGATTTCCTGGGCGGAAAGCGATACCTCGTCGCCTACTTCATCGGCCTCACGGGCGTCGTGACTTCCATCATGATCCTCGTCGCCGCCCAGGACCCAACCAGCGCACACTCCACGTCCGTAGTCTTCGGTGCCTACTATTGGGCCGGTGCTGTGTACGCCTGCCAAGCGACCTTTTTCGCGTGGTGCAACGACGCGATGAGATACGAGGAAGGCGTCTTCCGCGGCGTGGTCCTCGCCGGCATGAACCTGGGCAGCAACGCAATCAACGCGTGGTGGAGCATCGTTTTCTACGGCGCATCGATGGCGCCGTGGTTCACCGTAAGTCAATTTCCCACCCGCAGGTGTCAAAAGTCACATGTCATGAGGCCAGGCTAACAAGCGAGTTGCAGAGGGGCATGTGGGCCATGATCGCTAGCTCCATTGCTCTGATCGTCTGGACCACCGGACTCACCTATCTGACGCACAAAGAGGATCAGCGGAGAGTTTTGCATGCCCAGGAAGCGGAGGCAGGGTCCGTTACCAAGGGGACGGATGGGAAGGATGATGATAACGTTTAATGATAATCGATAGGATGGGGATTCGGTAGAGCGGAGATCTTCTCGAAGACTATCGTTTCATGGAAACATGAAGACAGCACAATTTGTTGCATTTGATGCAGAGGGTATCAGATATATTCATTGAAAGATACTGTGGTCCAAGATGATGAGCGACGAAGACACGATCAAGTCTCATGGCCTTGAGGTATCGTCGATTTTTGAGTTGGACGGTTCTCGTAATGATCAATGCCACTCAAGGCTTTACCACCGCAGCTGCGCCCGTAAGAGAGATTCTCGAAAGCCGACCATCACAATCATGCTGGGTTGCCCGAGTATTTCGAAGAACTGACGGGATTCGGCAGAGTCTATTTCCGTCATGTTGGCCCGGGTGTTGAGCGATCCTCGCGCCTTATCGTCTCCGCGAAGGAACGGCAGCGCCCTGGGGACACGAAGAGCGGGATACGGGCTTGGCCAGCGCATCTTTGGATGCCGAGGCCGGGAGTGGGGGCTCCACCGCATAAGCTCGCGGGTGCCGAGGCCGGATCCATAAGAACGGGCCTGCCCCACCAGATGCCGAGGATGCGGACTTAGCGCGGAATTGTAGCTTTGCCTAGAGCGGTCGAATTCCGCTCAGAATATCGAGCTGGTAATGAGGCATCAAACATCAGAAATGCTTCAAGACTTCAAACGAAACATTTTTCAGGCTCAGGACGAATGGGAAACTTACTGAAATTCATCCTTGACTGCCAAACATTGGTTTTGGCGCTCTCTGATCAAATGTGATGATCACATTAATTCTTCAAGCCTCACGCGGAATTGAAGAATTTGGGTGGGCCCGCTAGACGGCGATGCCGACCCCGGTGATCGGCACCAAAAACCCGACAATGGGCCCAAGTCCCAATTTCCCAAATAACTGCGTCATCCGTCTGAACTGTGTTCTCGACTCCCGACACGCCACCAACCGCGGTTCCCATGGGGGCTGCCTTTGACCCTGCGTCCGCGCGACCCACGGCATCCAAGATAACGGGACGCCGACCCCGGCTGGCCCGGCACCGTCGGAGAGATGACGACCATGGCCCGCCGAAAAGTTCGACGGAGGGTTCTAGTCGACTTCCAAGGCATTAGTATAAATGTCTCCCGATTCTTAGCTCTCTCGTTTCATGGAGCACTTCAATATTGAAAAACACTACCGCATCTGGAAACAATAGATACCCTTTGCTCTTCACAACCAAGAATAATCACACTCACATCTATGTCTTCATTACCATCAAACTACGGCGAGCGCCCGGTAGCGGTGCTCGGCGGAGGCGTCCTCGGTCGCCGTATTGCTACTACTTGGGCTTCCGGCGGCTACAACGTTCAAGTCCGCGAGCCCAATGTCAAGCAACACCAGCCCTGCCTGGACTACGTCAAGCAGAACGTCGACAGCTACCCGGCATCAGGCACGAAACGGCCCGGCACCGTCCAGTGTTTCCAAAACCTCGAGACCGCCGTAAAGAACGCCTGGCTCGTGATCGAGGCCGTACCCGAGAGAATTGAGATCAAGATCGACACGTTTGCTGAGCTCGAGGCCAAGGCACCTGCAGACGCCATCCTGGCAAGCAACTCGTCCTCGTACCGTTCATCGGAGATGCTCGACAAGGTCAAGGATGAGACTAAGACGCGCATCATGAACACCCATTACTACATGCCCCCTGGAAACATGGTCGTCGAGCTGATGACCTGCGGGCACACTAACCCCGATATTTTCCCCTTCATGACGGATAGGCAGAAAGAGGTCGGCACGAGGCCGTTTACTGCGAGAAAGGAGTCGACTGGCTTCATCTTCAACCGTCTGTGGGCTGCGATCAAGCGCGAGACTCTGTCTATTCTGGCTGAGGGTGTCTCGAGTCCCGAGGAGATTGATGCTCTGTTCGTTGAGCTTGGCAAGCGTGGTGTGGGACCTTGCGTCATGATGGATGGTAAGCTCACCTCACCCTTGCTATCCCCCGCATGGAATACTAACACTCAATTCAGAGGTTGGTCTCGACACCGTCGCCTTTATCGAAAAGCACTACGTCAAGGAGCGCGGCCTCTCCCCCGAAAACACCGTCGACTTCCTCGAGCGCGAGTTCCTCTCCAAGGGCAGACTCGGCACCAAGTCGACTAAGGGCGGTCTCTACCCCCACCTTCCCAAGATCGTCGCCCTCGACCTCGGTCTGGGCCGCTCCAACAACCAAGCAACTTCCGGCCAAGTCATCCAGCTGTCATCGAAAGGCAAGCTCGAGAAAGTGCTTGTCGACCGCCAGCACGTTCCCGATGGCATCGACATCGACGAGGAGACGAAGCGCATGTTCTGGACTTGCATGGGCACACCCGGCGAGCAGGACGGTGCTGTCTACTCTGCCAACCTCGACGGTACCGACGTCCAATCCTTGTTCGTGCCGGGCGTCATCAACACGCCCAAGCAGCTCGTCGTGGAACCTGAGTCGAGGAAGATTTACTTCAGCGATCGCGAGGGTATGAGGGTGTACAGATCCAACCTGGACGGGAGCGAGCTTGAGACCCTGGTTGCTTCTGGAAACGATCCTGAGGACGTCAAGTCATGGTGTGTCGGCATCTCCGTCGCTCCCAAGCTTGGCAAGGTCTACTGGACTCAGAAGGGCGCACCCAAGTCTGGCCAGGGCTGCATCTTCTGCGCCAACATCGAGATGCCCGAAGGAAAGACTGCCGAGACGAGAGAGGATATCGAGTGCTTCCTCGACAAGCTGCCGGAATGCATTGATATCGAGGTTGACGAGGACACGAACACAATCTTCTGGACCGACCGTGGTGAGATCCCTAAGGGCAACACCCTCAACAGGGCTCACATTGACTCCAAGACTGGTCTGTTGGCGGCGACTGGTTCCGAGAGGTTCGAGATCCTGGTCAGGCATCTGAACGAGGCCATCGGCGTGAAGCTCGACAAGGAGAATGGCCACGTCTACTTTGGTGATCTGGGTGGAAGCATCTACCGCAGCAACTTTGACGGAACGGAGAAGAAAAAGCTCTTCTACGACGAGGACCGGGCTATTTCTGGAATTGCGCTCCTGCGCGACTAGTCATATCGGGAGGCGGCATGTATGACGGCGTTTAATGATGGGCATCGCGTTGATTAGCGAATTGTTTGCATACCCTAGACATAGACTCTTTAGACTAGAGACGGTTGAGACGCGTCGCGATTCTTCGACCTGTAGACTAATCACACATCAATTGCTTGGAAGCTTCATTTCTATCATGGCTCTATCGTGTGTATGCATCCCTCATCTATGACTGGGCTGGTGCCTCCGCAGACACCGCATAGCTGACCTTTGACTTGCCCTTACTCCTGGAGATCTTCCTCACCGTCGTAACACCACACAAGTCCGTCGTATCGACATGCGTTCCTCCGCAAGGATACACCTCCGCGCCCACAATCTCAACAACCCTGAACTTCTCCCCAGGCGGGGCCAGACTCCTGTCCGGAATCAGCCTCTCCAGTCCCCGCTTCTTGAAGTCCTCCTCATCCCAGAAGTCAACCTTGACCGGCATCTTCGCATCCAAGAACTCATTAACCTTCTTCTGGATCGAGTCCTTGTGCTTCCCATCAATCAGCCCCTGAAATTCGCAATTCGCTGAGTCCGGAAAATGCGACGCCTTCAGCTCATCGAAGCCCTCGACCTCCTTCTCCAGCAGATGCCGCACCGCCGCGCCGAGGACATGCCCAGCAGTGTGGTACCGCGAGTACAGCAGCCTCTTCTCGACGTCAATCGCCTGCTCCACCTCATCGCCCTCCTTGAACATCGCGTTCGCGCCGCTGAAACGCCCGAAGTGCAGCACCTGGCCGTCGCGCACGCCGTCCATGCGCACCGAGTTGACCGAAAATGACGCGCCTGACGATGTCGTCATGGAGCCGACATCGGAGGGCTGGCCGCCGCCTTGGGGGTGGAAGATGGTCTGCTCCGTCACGACGACGTGGTCTTGGTCGCTGCCATCTTTGAAGAGCTGGCGGTTGGATTCTTCGAGGTCGGTGAAGGGGCGGATTGCGGTGACGATGGTCTTGAGGGTGTGGAGTTTGGCGTTGTGCTGGAAGGCGAGGTAGGTGCGGGCGGCTGCGGCCATTGTGACTGATGAGGTGCAGGGAAATTGCCCTGAGTAAAAGATTGATGGTCCCCGGATCAAACAACTATGAGTGTTGCGGTCGACTTATGAATATCATGAAATTCGGCTCGGTGTTCTGTTTCATTCTAAGGTCTTCCAGCCAATTGACATGAAGGGCGCGCCGTAGTTGAGGAAATGTGGTCCGAAGTGAGCTTAAAGTGGGTCTCAAGATTTGCGCCTAGGGACACTGACGCTGGACAAATAATTAAGCGATACGAATACGCGGCAATCTTCGAGTCTGAGCAGACATCCTTTTTCATCTCGTACCCAGGCCAAAAGAATTATTCACAACGGCTTTCTGTGAAGTTTAAACTTGGAATTGAATATCATCATTTAGTTATTAGTTTGACGGTCCTATTGACAAACGGCACACTTCATTGGGTAGCGAGGACGGTCTTGACAATGGTTGCGCAAGGGACCTAGCAAAAGTGCGTTTCAAGCTATAGTGAGCATTAATTAAAGTGAGTAGGATGCATATCAAAAGTGTATTGTACTACCAATAACATTTTCGTAGCTAGCGAGGACAAGTTCACGACCCTTAGATACGACGCGAATACGGCGACCAAAAATTTCGTGACCCAAACTTGCTGCTTCACAAACACTCCTGGCTCCTTTTCTCATGTGAACCGTGACCGGCGTCAGGTGTCAGCGGGCTCAATTTCGGCGGCGCTGTCTCCAGTCAAATACGTCTTGCCAACTCAACAACATTGGGCTTAATGCTCAGTTCAGTATGGACATTTTGAACACCAGCAATGATCAAAATATACCAGGCCTAGATGGCTTACCCAGGGCATGATGCAGTCGTATGTATGTGTGTATACAAGCTCTCTATCCTCTACTGCGTCTTCTTACCCAGGTCCCATTGACCCGGGCGTTCCTCGTGAAGTCCAACCCTAACGGCTCCTCCCTGCACGTTTTCAGAGAAGCATTTCTCTATTTCGGCTCCTTCAACCATCCCCCCGTCATCTTCAAAGATTGAGGCCACTAAGCCGTCGATACTTAATCCGCCAGCAACAGCTGCAACGCTCTCTGAGTTAGACGCCAACGCCATGCAGCCCAAAAGAAGTCCAAATATGGCAAAGATAATGTTTAGCACAACAATGCCTAATAGAGGAGCTCGCGGGACACGCGTAAGAATGGCAGACCGTATCGTCGACTCGGCAAGGTTTGGACGACCCTCGTAAACAGGAGCTAGGATGGATATGGCTACGCGTGAGAACTGCGTACCCCAATTTGAGGCTATTTCAGCAGAGCTATTGCCCATGATTGCTATGTCGGTACCTTGGGTTATCATGATAGAAGGCGTACCCGGCGCTGGGATGACGCTGTTGTATAGCCATGCGACAGACCCATTGGCAAGTGAGGTGGAAACGTGCGAGAGAGATCCGTTGAATGAGGTATACTTCACGTCGTATGTAGCTACTTGGCAGCGCAAAATAAAGGCAGCGCCGCCATGTACCGGGATTGTTATCTCTGGATCATTTGGAATGTTTGAACTTTTGACTCCGAAGTCGAGGCGGAATGCCACAGACATGTACCAGCTACTTGGCAGATTATGTCCGGGAGAAACAGAAATATCGCTGCGATCTTCTTGTGAGCTGTAATTGTTATACGGCTGGGTGAAGTTGTCATCCAGGAAGTCAGCTCCAAAGACGAGATGTTCATCATTCGCCTTCCATGAGGTTGCAGTTGAGTTGAGCTTTATACTTTGGAGATCACCGTAGAATCCAGAGCTACAATTGTATGGAGTGGCAGCTCCTATGGGAGCGCTCAGCTGACACAACTGGCTGATAGGCTTGCAGGAAGTTTGGACGCCAATGGTACTAGCGGTATATTCCAGCTCGTTCGATATGGAACCTGTAGCTGGGCCAAGAAAGATGAGGCTTGCATCTGATCCATCCGAGGCCGGCGTGGTGAAGTTCAACAGGCTATGCTGTGTCGACCTATCGCTGAATACCGATGTAGTTTCTGACGAGTCTTCTAGGCCTTGTCCAGTGACGGCTCGCACGTAAGTGCAAGGGTACTCATGGAAGTCGTCGAGCGAAGTGCATCGGCTAGATAAGCCTCGGCTGAATGACTGCTGCACGGCGTCTGAAGTCGAGTTTCTAATATGGAGTACAGCCTAAAACGGGTTCACATCGTCAAAAATTCCGTACTTTACATCACGAAGTCCCGTCGACTTACTTCAGTTGTAAAATGGAGCAAAGAATCAAGTCCGAAAATGGCCAAGCTGTCGGAGGAAGGGTATCAGCCTGACATCCGAAAGCGCTTGAAATGACCAGCAAAGTGTGTCTTACTCACCCGAGGAGTTGAAAAATTATCAGAACGGCGCCGGTTGATTTGATTAATGAAGCAAACTTATGCTTGCTTGTCCACCCGTACTTCGCGTACTTCCAAAGATGCCCAAGTGAGCCAGTCGACAGACCGATTAGGAGTACCAGTTGATAAGGTGTCGGTAATTGAGCCATCTCGTTTGTAGACGATCTTTTGAGCAATATCTTGGCCGTTCTAAAGAGATAGAGACCCATCACAATACTAGCTAGCCGGGGCGCAACGCTGCTACTCCATGAAGAAACAAAGATCAGCCGAGCAGCAGGAAAGTCTACTATATAGTAGCCTAAAGCAACAGCATCATCGCTCGTTGAATCAACGGTTTCGATCCAATTCTTGATAAGAATGCCCAGAAGCACAGCTGAAAAGCCAAGCATCGGGAGGCTAGATAGTGCGGCATAGAAGACGATCCATTTGGCAGCGTCAAAGCTTCCCTTTTCGCGAGGCTTGTTGATGAAGGCAACATCTTGATCGTGGTTTTCCTTTGTCGGCCGTAAGTCGGTGGTCTCTTGCTCGTGACGATTCGCTGCCTCGGCAGCTTCGTCTTCTGATATGTCTGATACAGCATGATGCTCGCTGGGCCCAGAGATGAAGTCAACGCCTTGATCGTGGTTGTCTCTTGTCGGTAGTAAGTCGGGGGTCTGTTGCTCTTGACGATTCACTGTCGAGGCAGTTTCGTCTTCTGATATATCGGATACAGCATGATACATACTGGGCAATGCATCACCTGAGTCTCTTGGGCGTGGACTTTCCATGATATGTCTTGATTTGGCGGAAGACGCTAAAAATAGCGAGAAGTCATAGAGCAACAGAGGTAGAGCTCCATACAGGGGTGGGTCTCTGGGATGATGGCTGTTTTAAATGCCGAGTCAACCACTTCTGACATCTCGTGGCGAATGGCGAAGTGTGAGCCAAAAGTAACCAAGAGCTGAGTGCGGCTGAGCTCATGCATGTTTAAGGGCTGCGCCATGGTTTCGGAAGGTCATGACAGGTCGGAAGCCTCGAAATGTCATTTTACTTCGCACCCATTTGCTGTTACACTGGCTGCTGTAGAGGAAGCCGTCAGCCCGATGCAGGGCACTAATGTGCCTGTAGCTCTAGGGTTGAGGTACTAAAGAGGGGTATTTTAATGGATGGCAGCAGTCATGCATAATGCCTGCCAATGGATCTGATGAGATTCTGGCTTTATGGGGGCGGAGCTGCACCTTCTGTAGATCATGGCATGCCAATAACACCCGGTAGCTGACATGTTTTGTTCTCAGTGATAACCAGTAGTCGCCGATCGGTTATCTCTCAACAACCAATTATAGTTCCTTGTCCGTCCAGAAACGAATCGGATTGTCAATGACTCCTGGCTAGCATCACTTTGGTTGAAAACGCCTGTTCTACTCTTTCCGCCTCGCTTAGCTTCTGACCACCCTCCCCTCATTGCTGTTGCTGACCAGGCGTCATTAGCTCTTGGCTCACAATCAGGCAGCCAATCCGATCCAGAGTCCCCGTCCGTGGTCGCAAGAGACTCACGATCATGCAGGACACCTGTAACCCTTCTCTCGTCTTTCAAAGTCTTTCTCAGTGGTCGCATGATCGATATCTTCATGTAGAACCACCGCACCTTGCCTCCAGGCTGCTTATTCTTTGACCTAGCCCGCCCGATGGATTTACTACAAGCTGCCTCTGTGTCGATCTTCGCTTACGACAGGCAACTATGAAGACGCCCGTTATGCTGCCTGGCAACTCAATCATGCAAACCACTTGCACTCGGCCTCAATGTCGTTGGGAAACTTTGCCCAAGCCTTCAACTGCGACAGGCTATCATGAGCCATCTCTAACATCGATGGCGAAGCTTACCAGAAGATCATTGACGAGGGGCGTGACATCCGCGAAAAACGGCGTGTCATTCGATACGTGAAAAGTTCCTTCCTCGCGCCAGACCTCGATCTATGCGGGACCGACTACGACCTTGTCGCGTCGGCGCATGGCTTGGCAAGCAACCGGAACCAAGGACAGTTAACCCTGGAAGAAAGACTTTGGAAAAAAATCGACGATATGCCACAAGAGGTTGAGGTTACATACGGGACATTGATAGACAACCTCGCGGAGCAAGCCAATATGCAATCCATTGGATGTATGCTTCTTCGCCAATAATCAACAAAGTCGAAGTGCAGGGCAACTGACAAAGTTGACAACGGTGGCGGTCCCTTTTCCTGGGTCTCTGCCATCTTCTCCATGGGTGGCGATTTTACCGCAGCGCAGACACTTTCTGGAGTCTGCTGGGTTGACTGGACAAATTTTGTTCTGAATCATCTTTTTGGTCGAGATATCTCAGTACCGGAAACCAGCCGGGAAGCGTTTGTCACTTTTAGAGACCCCCCTAAAACCCCTTGACAACTCATTAACATTGATGTGACTACTTCTTCTGGTCAAGTCCTTGCCAGGGCAGACGTGCGTTCCCGAGCGAAGAAACGTCCCCCGATTCCTCCGTAATAATGCTGACAGACTGGGTCTTTAGTATGTGCTGGCGACCGCTGTCATCGGAACTGCGGTCGCCCAAGACCGTGGCTTCGAGAACGCTGTCCCCCTGATATCTACTGTTCTTGGTCCCACTGCGCTCGGAAGAGTTCCAGTGTTTA